GAGTGGCACAAGGATTGGGGTCAGCACACAGTGGTTTCTCTCTGCTCCTCCTTCTTTCTCAACCCTTTTCCTCTGGTCCTTCACTGGTACTCCATGGGCTGCAGTCCCTCCAGGATAGTACCTGCTCTGCCATGGAGCACCTCCCACTCCCCAGACCTTGTTATTCCCTCCTCTATTCCCTCCTCCTCTGCCTGTCCAGCATTTCTGACCTTTCTTAAATACACTTTCCCAGAGGTGCCACCATCTTATCTGAGGGTCTCTGCAGTGTCCTGTGGTGGGTCCGTTGGAGCCAACTGGAAGCGGCTATATTCAGAGAACACTGAAGAACAAAACTGTTTGTTCTTAGATGTTATCTTTAAGCCAGTGATATTTAAAATACATTTAGTTTCAGTCTCGTTTTGAATGTGAAGGAGCTAGGACACATTAGAAAGAAATCCACAATGACAGGTATAGGCAGCAGTGAGGTTGATGCGACCATACCGCTGATCACCAAGCAGCATTTTGAGCCCAGTGCTGTGTCAGCCTTTCCGTACAGCCTGTTGAGATGGGCATTATACCCTACTGAGGTATGTGCCAGGCTCTGGACCAGGGCTGGCTTGCACTTGACTGAGCTGAAAGGCAGGCGGTGTGAACCTATGACTATCTGCACTGTCTACACTAGCCTAGCAAAAATGTCTTGACTAAGGACATACCTAACGTTTGTGGCAGAGAAAAAAATAGAACCGATATATGTGATATTCTGTTTTATGCTTTGAGTACAAAGACTGGCTTTTGTCTTGTTAAAATATTTTGATCTGGAGAAAGTGATTTAGAAGACAAGCAGTTTAATTAGTACACGGGCAGAGACAATCTGTTCTAAGAATAGTTGTTAGCATGGGAGAGGGCATAAAGTTAAGAGCAGGTGAAGGGGACAAAAGAAATGTTAAAGAAATGTGTATTCTTTGGAGGAGTACTCCAAAACATAGAGCCTTGTGGAGAGATGAGGACAGCATGTACCATGCAGGCACATTATACTAGCACTAAAAATATGACATTGGTCATCTAGCCAAAAAGGTAAATGACTTGCTTGGAGTCTTGGGGATATTTGTCAGGAATTCAGAAAAGAAAATGTTTGGAAGACGGAGGAACCATCTGAGCTCACTGTGAAGCAGCAAATGTTCCAGTGCTATTTTTGGTTGAGTAGTACTGTATACTGGGGGAGTTTCTGTGAAATGGGAGGTGACACTACAAAATCTTGGAATAAGCATATTTGAAATATGCTGATCATGGAAATATATATGTTCCATTTATTTAGCATTTAGTCTAGTCTGATAAATGGCTGTAGCATCTTTTGATCCCGTATCTCCTACTCCCTTTTCGAAGGAATATGTGTCATCCCTGTGGTCTCAGCTTGGGAACTTAAGAACCTTGTTAGTCCTTTTGTTGGCAACAGTCAGGTCAGAACAATTGTGCCTGAGTTAATTCACCTGAAAAGGGCAGGAGCCATAAAAGACTCCAGTTCATCAGCTTTGATATGTAGGACCAGAGAGAGAGAAAAGAAAAAAAAAAGGGAAAGAAAAAAAATAGAAAAAAAAAAAAAGGATTTCTTTTAACTCCTGAAATTATTGGATAAGACCAAAACCTATAAGACCCCCGTGTATGTAACAGAAAATAAGGAAAAAGCAAGGTCACAATTACTGATGGAAAGGATGCATAAGTACTAAATTCCACTGTTAATGGTGTTTTCATGAGAATGTCTGTCTTCACCCCTCTTGGCACTAGAGCAGGTTGACAGTAGGTTGAATTAATACAAACAAGATGAAGTCAGTGATGTTGCCACCGCTTAGCCACCTTAAGAGTAAAATCAGCACCTTCATTAGTAAATGGAAATGACCCCTCATAGGTGGTTATCACAGACAACTCTCCATTCTTTTCTTCTTATATTCCTCCTTTAATCTTTTTCAGATTAGCTCTAGGTGGATTTAAGTTGAAGTCTCTCTCATTAGCAGGCATTAATTTATTTGTATTTGTTGAATGTCTTACAAATTATCTGCTTCATCAATGTGGAGAGAATTTGTTGGTAAAACAAAACTGAAAAAAAAAAAAAGGAAGTAGAAAACATCTCTTTTAAAAGTGTTTTCATTTTACTTAAACCGCTATGAGATGAACTACTTGTCCTGGAGAAAGGCCTCTCTTAATGTTTCATTTTGACACCTATAGAAAATTCTGTATTTGTGCCACAAAATGGGCTCAGATCGCAAATACTATTTAAAAGAGAAGTTTGTATGAACCTTTTCAGATTTCTCAACGTGTTATATATATTTATTTCTTTTAATAATGAGTTGCTACAGTGTAATACTGCAGTGGCTTAGGCCGATCTAGTCTCGTCTTGATACAACTATGCCAAAACTGGAATGTAAAGGTTGCGTTTCCTTATTCCTGAGAACCTGGGCAGCACAAAACGATGTTCTTTGTAGTAAAATAGCAAGGCCAACTCCATCTGCAAAAAACCCCATGCAAACCAACCTTTTTGTAATGTGTGGTTACTACAATGTACATATTCCATAGATAATGACATTTATCCCTTAGCATTTTTTGAATCTATAGCAGTTATACTCTACTGTGAATGTCCTCTGAATGCACGTCTGACTGTAAAAAGACCTCCCTTTTCACTTGTATTCTGAATTTCATGTCCTATTGTCCGTTAAGTAATTCTACTTCTAAGTTTTGCTTTTGTGCTCTTTTCAGTAGCTCTAAAAATGCTGCACCTCATTCACCATTGCCTTCTGACTTCATTTGTACCAGTGGAAGAGTAAGGAAAAAATAGACCCTCAGCTGCTCCGCTTTCGTTCAAGTGACTGAGGTGTACAATAACCATGAGTCAGGCCTTTCTGCAGATCCTCTCATTAACGTCGTTATCATTTTTACTTAAAAAAACCAACCACCTTTGGCTGAATTTATCACTCATGAACAAGTGATGTCCTGAACATTTGGTACTGATTTGCAGGCCATTCTTTTCCACTCCTGTTTGTACCATGAGACAAGACAATCCTGATACATATTGAAATGCATTTTAATGTTGCTATATGGGGACTGGAGGAAGGATTACTATGCATAACTTTGCTTTACTAGTAGTGCTTGGCAGCTTTTTGTCCAAGGATTCCCAGTACTATACAGCACTGCACGTGCCTCCTATCTTCCACTGTAGCAAGGTGTCTGCCATTTCATTTTTGCTTATCAGGAAACTGAAGCATTTAGTAGAAGCGAACAAGTCACCTTGGCCAAACTAGTAAATAAACAACAACTTGGTTAAATCCTCATCCTCCGTGACAAAAAGCAATTGTGCCAATCTAAGACACCATGTAACATCCATGTGATCAGTTGCTTTCCCTTCACCACACATACAGTAAGTCTGAAATCCTGCCGTTGTGAATGTGTCCATACCTCTTAAAGAAGCTAGATCATCCTTTAGTATTTTAGTAAATTGCTCAAAATGACTCTCCAGAAAAAGAGGAAATAAGAAGTCAAGTCAGGTTTTATATTCTTGTGTTGTTTTTCTCCTTGGTACTTCAGTGGCAATTTTTTCCATGTCTTATATTTGATTAATCTTATTTATGGCATTATATTACTAATCCTATTTAAGTATTTCTGTTCAGCCAGACACAGAAAACAATGCACACACACAAAAAGAAAAAAATTAAGTGTAGGGATCATCTCAAACAGTTTCAGAACTAAAAGTATTTATGAAACGTGGCATACTTATGCTGCTACCTGGGTTCTAAATGCAGAGCATCCCAGATCAGCTGAGTGCCTAATGAAGGTCTGACATTGCACCTCTAAAAGAAATGTTCATGCTTTAGTGGAAGCAGTAGTACTGCTCACAAGCTGGTTAGATATTAACCAGTTTGGGCAATATCCCTTCTGAATATTACAACTTCTGAGACCTTATTTCCTGTCTAGGCAATGTCCTAATCTGAAATGAGATCTCTTTTCTGGGTTAAGGGAGATGCTTGATTTGGAAAACTAATTTGGAAATATGTGACTTACAGTGACCTCCCCATTCCTTTTCCAGGGTAAATACAGAATTTACACTGCCACTGTAATTAATCCATAGTAAGATTTCTAGTAATTTCCAGGTTTCTCGTGAAACTCTATTGAATTTTGAGTTTATTTACAGTAGAGAAACTCTGAAATAAGTCTGCCAGAGTCATTTGTGTTAATCCAGGCTTGCATCAATATCAGTGGAAACAAGATCTAAGCTTATATTAAATAAATCGAGAGTTTACATGATCTAGGAGTGTAAAATGTTGCAATTACACTGCTCATATTTGTATTCAGTTTATAGCAGCCAGTAACACACATACTCTTTATTCAAGAGCTTTCCAGTGTGGATTTACGTAGGTAATTTTATCTCAGGTTGTTTGGTATTTGACATAAATCCTTTATTTCTGGAGTAAACCGATAATATAGCTATCTATTTTTGAAAAGGAGATTTAACCTTCATATTTGTGAATGAAAGCTGGAAATCCTGAGTCTAGAAAACCCAAAGCATGAATTATTTCTACATAAAATCTCAGGTTTTTAGGGGAAAAAAAAGGGTTTATTTTCATTTTGCTTGTTGAATGCTTGGTGCTGGTGAGGCAATGTGGGTGTACATATACACGCATGGAGGTGTGAATGTGCACTTTTTCTTACACATTGAACCTGAACTGGAGTGTACTGGAGCTTTTCTGAAGCTCAGGACTGTTTTTCCAGGCTGTGTTTCTGGTAGGTTAGTAACTGCCTAGTGCATGGAAAATGGGAATCACAATTTTCTGGGGCCAGACATAGAGGTTCACTATTACCTGGGCAGGGCTCTCGCTAATGGGGAGAGAGGGTTGTATTCCACCTAATAAACTCACAAAAGGCAGAAAGAGACATACCAGGTGATACCAGCATGATCAGTCTGCCATTCACAAGGTATACAGTCCCAGAAATCCACCCAAAATATTGTTTTTTCTTTTGTTATTTCCTTTTTCTAGAAAAAGCAAGTGAGTCAAACAAAGATCCGGGTGATCTCTACCATCCTCTTCATCCTGGCAGGCTGCATTGTCTTTGTGACGATTCCTGCAGTTATCTTCAAACACATCGAGGGATGGACAGCCTTGGAGTCCATCTACTTTGTGGTTGTCACTCTGACTACTGTTGGCTTCGGTGACTTTGTAGCAGGTGAGCAGCTTTGAGCCTAGGTGCTGTGCACGAGGGCCTTGGCTCTTAGAATTTGTTTTCTGGTATAGAGAGGAGGCTTTTCACAGTGTATGATATTCCAGTGAAATGATGCCGGGTGTTTCTGTTGGGGTTACTGTGCAATAGGACACCATGTTGATTTAAGATCCAGATGCCTTGCCATCTGCAGATTGCAAGCTTTCAGCAGTGTTGGTAACGGAAGCTTGGGAAGTCCTGATTATCCTTCATCGTGCAATGAATTATGCACAAGTCAAATGACTTTCCCATTGAATTCAAGATCTGTATTAGTCCATTAGGGCTCAATCTGAGGCTGACTGCAGAAGCAAGTAGCCAAAATGATGAATGAATGAAGCTTTTACAAAGTAGGGCTGAGCCATAGGGCTGGAGAAATCTCTGGTCAGATGCAGTAGTGGGCTGCTACTACAGGAGCTGCGGCATTTCATAAACTGCATTTTGTTCTCCAACCTTGGCAGAAATTTTGACATTGCAGTTGCCCTGTTAAGGAAAACTCATGCAGGAAGAGGACGACTAATGGGGTATGCATCTCAGTGCTAGAAGGATACTCTCCAAGATTAATACAGTACTAGCAGGAACTATAACTATCCATCCTTATCAGTTTTCAAAGAGGGAGTCAAAATTGTTGGCTGGAGAGATAAGAGTTTTTTTTTCACACAACTGCTTTGCTGATGAAAATAAGTGGAATTTTTTTTCCTATTAGTGTATGACCTCTGCTCCTCATTCCTGTTAGTGGTCCTAATTAAAGGCATTAAGATGCCTGTGTTACAAACAGCCATATTATGCTACTGTTTTGTTACTTCCTATAAATCAGTGTAATATGAATGAGTTAAAAACATCAAATGAAACTATAGGGATATATAAAGTTTTCTTTGCTGAAGAGCTGCAGATAAGTCTTTTTGTAGAGAAGACTCTAATCCTCCTTTTTTATGACATAGTGGTATAGAAGACATGAATTACTGAAGAAAAAAAGGCACTGAACAAAGAGAGCCCCAGATATGAAAAAGAAGTGTTTTACGAGCATTCAGATACAGAAGTGATTGTATGAGCTTGGTCCCTTTTAACCACTTAGATGTGAAGAGAAGCTCACTGATATTCTGTCTTTGTGGTATCACAGTGTGAAATAAAAATAATACACAATATTTTTCTTAAGCATATCACACTTTGGTATTGTTTTCTTTAATAATATAATAGTAAAAGAGCTCTGAATATTAAATTAAATTATTCTATATCCAACATGATTAGGAAAATATAATCCACGGCTGGGTGGCTACTTACAACCAGGATTTTTCAAAAATGAAATGGAGGACCCTAAATGAGAAAACTTCAGAGGCGATCTCATGATAAGAATATAAGGCAGGTGATCACCAGGAGATTTTGGTTTTATTGCTGGTTTTGAGGCAGATTTTCTGTCACTTTTATTTTCTGTCACTTTAATCTCTCAGTATCTGTCCCTTCAACATCAAGGTAAAAATACTCATCGTATTGGATAAAACAGCATCATAGAATCATAGAATCATAGAATAGTTTGGGTTGGAAGGGACCTCTAAAGGTCATCTAGTCCAACCCCCCTGCCGTGGGCAGGGACAGCTTCAACTAGATCAGGTTGCTCACAGCCCCGTCCAGCCTGACCTTGAATGTTTCCAGGGATGGGGCATCCACCACCTCTCTGGGCAACCTCTTCCAGGGTTTCACCACCCTCAGCATAAAAAATTTCTTCCTTATATCTAGTCTAAATCTACGCCCCTTTAGTTTAAAGCCATTCCCCCTTGTCCTGTCGCAACAGGCCCTGCTAAAAAGTTTGCCGCCATCTTTTTTATAAGCCCCCTTGAAGTACTGACAGGCTGCAAGAAGGTGTCCCCAAAGACTTCTCTTCTCTAGGCTGAACAACCCCAACTCTCCCAGCCTTTCTTCACAGGAGAGGTGTTCCATCCCCCTGATCATTTTCGTGGCCCT